ACAGAGAAGGAAACGGGCGATGACACTCTAAGGATGTACTACCTGCTTATCAAGATCGTGCAGGTGGTGGTTAAGGGCAGCCAGGCGGCGCAGGTGGTCCTCCCGGTGTTCCCCGTCCAGGTGCGCAAGGCGGGCCTGGGTGCACACACTACATTACTACATGTGCCTCATTCCAACAAAGAAAATCCTTATCATTTCACCCTCCCCTGCCTCCCTGCCCCTCCCTCCCTCTCCCCGAAGTGGTAAGGGATGGTGCTGGGGGAAAACTACATTTTGGGTAAATAGGTTCAAGAAAGACCCTGCATACTTGACCAGTTTGTATCAGCTGGTAACTCCTGACTAAATACCTTCAGGAATGGGTTCCCGATTTTATATATACACTTTGGTATCACATGCTGGCATTCTATGATATTCATCAATACAATTACATAAATACATGGAAGTCTATTTTACCTAAGGAATATAACCGATGAACAAATCCCCTTACTATTTGAAACACATGAACAAAATAGTCCTAGATATATATAAGATATTTTTTTCATAGCCAGGGATCAGTTTAGTAACATATATACACATAAAAGGACCTTATAAAATGGCAAACCAAAAAGGAAGAATAAAAAAATAAACAGCCGTCACTCATTTCACACACAAAAAACACAACATGCATAAAAAAATCAATTATATTGCAAAAAGTTATATTTTTTCTCTCTCTAGTCAAAAGGCCATTTGAAACCAATGCTGAAAATGCATGATCGATATCTCGTTTACATTCATATATACATTAAAATAGGAGGAAGAATAATGCTCAATTCCAGCAAAATATAAATACATAATAATAATAGTAGTAATAATAACAATAACAGCAAACATAAGAGTTAACTATAATTGAAAAAAATGTAGGTGAATGTAATAATGTAACCATGTTTACCTATGGTGTAATTTTAACTAAATAAACAGTAATGGCATCAAAAGCAGCAACATGCAACGAAAGCCCAAATCATGCAAAAGAAAAAACTAAAGAAAGAAAGAAAAAGACATGCATAATACCAGACAAAACCAGGCAACTACATTTCTTACTAAAGACAAAGCAGCAAAGAAAGCGTGTGTTGTTAGCATATAAAGCCATAATCATTAAAAAAATAATAATAATGAAAAAACGGGAATTAAAAAAAAAATCTACATAAAAAGAAATTCGAATTAAATTCGATGGCACACTGGGGGAAAACAATTGTAAAAACCTACGTAACATGAAAAAATAAATCTATAATGATAATAAAACAAACTCCGATCCAGGATAGACTTCTATATAAACCTAATAAACTTCCGGCCCACAGGAGCGGCTCCGAAGAGCCCCCTGACGAAGTGTGCGTCGCCGAGGTGTTAGAGGGACAGGCGCCCCGAGATGGCAGGCTGTTAGCAGTGCCGAGGCGTCGCATTAGTCGGGTTATATGCGGCGTTAAATTAAGAAAAAATCCCTATGATTAAAAAAAATCCACTGACTCGTATACAATCAGGATGCCTAGACACTCTGTTTGGGTGGTGCGCGGGCGGCGTGGCGTACCTGCGAGTCTCTCTCGAGGCGGGCGTGGTGGCGGGCCGCCTGGAGCGCCGAGTGGTGGCGCCGCAGCTGGATCAGGAGCAGCACCAGCTCCTCGTGAGTCTTACCAAGCAGCTCCCCCGCGCTCACGCCCTGCAGCCCCCGAACCTCCACGCCCTCCTGGGCCGCCGCCGCAGCCGCTGCCGCCGCCGCCGCCGCCGTCTGCTGCTGCTGGTGGAGGTGGTGGTGGTGATGGTGGTGGTGGTGGTGGTGGTGGTGGGGGCGGGACGGTGTTAGTAGAGGAAAGTGGTGTGTTGCGGCGTGGTGTGGAGGGAGGCGGGCCGCCCTCCGCCTCCCTGCCGCCCATGCGGGGCACGCCCGCGCCCTTCGCTGCACGGGGGATTACAACCTGTCAGTCCCCGCACACCACGAACGCATGCGGCCATGCACTCGGCGTCGCTCGCTCGCGCTCCACGGCCATGCACGCGTATGCTCTCTCGCTGGCACGTACACACATACAGACAGATACATACACATACACACACAGACGCAGACACACACATGCCCAGACACAGACAGACATAAAGCGTCCATGTGATTATTAACTATTCGACTTGTATTCCTTTCCAAGTAACATGTATAAATGCAAGCGTTCATCCGTCATGCAAGCACCCATTCACGCACCCAACCATCAGTCAGTCTATCCATCCATCCATCCACTCATCCATCCACTCATATAACCTCCCATTCATCCATCCATCCATTTACCCTCCATCCATCCATCCATCCACTCATCCTCTCATCCATCCATCCACTCATATACCCTCCCATTCATCTATCCATCCATTTACCCTCCCATCCATCCATCCATCCACTCATCCTCTCATCCATCCATCCACTCATCTTCTACTCCATCCATCTATCCACTCATCGTCTCATCCATCCATTCACTCATCTTTTACT